ATAAATATGTGCATTCTTCATCTACCATACCTTTGGACGATCCATCTTTGCTTTTTGCCAATGCAGGCATGAATCAATTTAAGCCAATTTTTTTGGGATCAGTAGATCCTAATTCTGATATGGCTCAATATGTGCGAGTTGTAAACACTCAGAAATGTATCAGGGCTGGCGGAAAGCATAATGATTTGGATGATGTTGGTAAAGATGTATATCATCACACATTTTTTGAAATGATGGGAAATTGGTCTTTCGGAGATTATTTTAAAAAAGAAATTTGTACTTGGGCTTGGGAACTATTAACTGTTGTTTATAAATTGCCAGCCGATAGATTATATGTGACATATTTTGGAGGAGATAGTGCATCAGGTCTTGAACCAGATTTAGAATGTAAAAACATTTGGTTGAATATAGGTCTCCCAGAATCTCATATACTGCCAGGAAGTATGAAAGATAATTTTTGGGAAATGGGAGAAACAGGTCCTTGTGGACCTTGTTCTGAATTACATTATGACAGAATAGGGGGACGAAACGCAGCACATCTTGTTAACATGGATGATCCAGATGTTTTAGAAATTTGGAACTTAGTGTTTATACAATTTAATAGAGAATCTGATGGATCACTTAAATTATTACCAAAAAAACATATTGATTGTGGTCTAGGTCTTGAAAGGTTAGTTTCTGTTATTCAAAATAAAAGAGCTAACTATGATACTGATTTCTTTATTCCTTTATTCAAAGCAATTGAGGTAGGAACAAAAACAAGACCTTATACTGGTAAGGTCGGCGTTGAAGATGTTGATGGAATTGATATGGCGTATCGTGTATTAGCTGATCATGCAAGAACATTGACGATAGCTTTATCAGATGGTGGATGTCCAGATAATACTGGTAGAGGTTACGTGCTTCGACGAATCTTAAGGCGGGCGGTACGATATGCTTCTGAAAAACTAAATGCAAAACCTGGCTTTTTCGGTTCCCTCGTTCATACTGTAGTGCAATTGCTTGGTGATGTATTTCCGGAAATAAAAAAGGACCCAGATTCGATTATACAGATAATAAACGAAGAAGAAATTCAATTTCTAAAAACACTTTCTCGTGGAAGAAATTTGCTTAACAGAACCATAGAAAAGTTAGGTGGGTCAAAAATCGTACCAGGTGATGTAGCTTGGCGGCTTTATGATACCTACGGATTTCCAGTTGACTTAACTCATTTAATGTGTGAAGAAAAAGGATTGGCTATTGATATGGAAGCTTATGAAAAAGCTAAAAAAGAATCTCAGTTATGTTCCCAAGGTAAAACTGTAGGTCAGGAAGATCTTTTAGCGTTAGACATACATGCAATTAGCCATTTACAGAATAGTGGAGTTCCTGTTACTGATGATTCCCCAAAATATAGTTACATGCCGACTTCTAAAGATAAAGATGCTATATATAATTTTGCTCCTTGTTCAGCGACTATTCTAGCCTTGAGATGGAATAAAGAATTTGTAAATGAAGTAACTTCTGGTCAGGAATGTGGCTTAATATTGGATCGTACCAGTTTTTACGCTGAGCAGGGAGGCCAAATATTTGATGAGGGATATATGGTTAAAACAGACGATGATAGTGTTGAATTTACTGTAAGAAATGTACAAGTCAAAGGTGGTTACGTCTTACATTCAGGGAAAGTTGAGGGTACCATGAAAGTTGGGGATACACTATCATTACATATAGATACCGAAAGACGTCGACTTATTATGAATAATCACACTGGCACACATATACTAAATAACGTTTTGAGAAAAGTACTTGGAAATGACTCCGATCAACGTGGATCCCTTGTGATGCCTGATCGATTAAGATTTGACTTTACAAACAAAGGTCCTATGACTACGAAACAAATCAAAGATACGGAAGATGAAATTAAGGATATTATAAATCAAAATAAAACTGTATATTCCAAACATACCAGTCTACACGACGCAAAAAAAATAAAAGGCTTAAGAGCTATGTTTGATGAGCATTACCCTGATCCAGTTCGTGTTGTTTCCGTTGGTATACCAGTGGAAGAATTAGAAAAAAATCCAGATGGTCCGTCAGGTTACGAAACATCCGTTGAGTTTTGTGGAGGTTCACATTTACATCAAACTGGCCATATAGGAGATTATGTTATAGTTAGCGAAGAGGGAATTGCAAAAGGTATTAGAAGAATTGTTGCTTTAACCGGACCTGAAGCTGTTAAAGCCTTAAATAAACTCAGTGTTTTGGAAAATGAAGTTAATAATATTGCCAATTATATTAAAGATGAAGGTGATGGATTGAATCAAAAAGAGATAGTGAAGAAGCTTGTAGATCTTACTAATGACATATCTCACGCACAAATATCATATTGGAAAAAAGAAGAACTTAGGAATATGTTGAAAAATTTGAAAAAACAACTAGATGACAAAGAAAGAGCATCTAAAGCAATGATAATAACACAGGTTACTGAAAAGGCTAAAGAAATATGCCTTGAAGAAAAGGCATCCCAAGTAATTGTTACTGAATTAAATGCATTAGGCAATACTAAGGCTTTAGATGGTGCTCTAAAACAAGTCAAACAGTTGCTACCTAATACCGCTGCAATGTTTTTCTCTGTAGATGATGAGGCTAACAGAATTTACTGTCTAGCAGCTGTACCTAAAAGTTTGAATGAAAAAGGATTATTAGCTTCTGAGTGGGTCCAATCAGTAGTTAGTGTAATGGACGGTAAAGGTGGTGGTAAGCCTGAGTCTGCACAGGCCTCTGGAAAAAACTCTAAGTGTGTTAAAGAGGCAATCAAAATTGCAAAAGAATTTGCATCATCTAAGTTGTAAGCACTAAATTATTTTGTATAATATATTATTATAAAATAGTTATTGTTAACCACTATAATTATAGCAAAATAAACTTTGCTTGCCCTATGAAAGTATTTAAAATTTTTCAAAGTAAATTCCTCAAACCTATCTATCAATAGTAAAATAAAATTTCCTATGCCAAATACGTTTGTGTTGTTTTTTTTGCCAATCTGTCCCTTTTGAACGTAATAGGCACAACTACTGGATGGATTTTGACGAAACTTGGCATTATAGCGTATACCCTGAAATAACACTTACCGTTCTGCAGTACTGGCCATTTCAAATCAAAATAATTTTGGTTTGGCTAAAACTTCGAATTGCAAATGAATTATATTATAAAAACACGGAATTCTTTTTTTTTTTCAAAATTAGTCATTTGTTTATTGATTAGCGTTATGTTTTCATCGCATTTGAATCTTTTTCGTCATCATGGAAACGTTAAAAATTCGAGTAATTATGGAATATGAGTTCCGTCGTGGTGGCAACGCGGCACGCAACATCAACGACGTTTACGGAGCTAATACAGCAAACTGACGCACCACATGTTATTTGTTTGCCCACTTCCGTTCTGGAAATTGTGATCTGAAAATGAACCCCGTGGTCGTCCAAAAACTTTGTTCGACAATGACGAATTAAAGGCGATTGTGGAAGCCGATGATACTCAATCTACGACTGAATTAGCAGCCACTTTCAACGTTAGCATCAAAATCATTTTGGTCCATTTGCGTCAAATTAGCAAAGTAAAAAAGCTTGATAAATGGATACCCCACGAACTCTTGATCGCCAGCGCGAAGTAGAACTCACATCGAAACGTGCTCAAATGAGGGAACTTTGAACCGCATTGTTACCTGCCACGAAAAATTGATTCAGCTTGACAATCGCAAGTGCTCAGCAATTTAGTTGGATCCTTAAACAATTTTTTTTTATAGGATAGGGTGACAAACGAGCACACAGTCCACCTGATGGTAAGTGGTTGCTGTGGCCCATAGACATCTACATCTATCCTTGTTTGCGAATCAAAATGCAGATGCGTTGTCACCCGTGAGGACTAAGATGGAATGCCTTGTTTCCAGTAAAAAGGGTCTCCAGTTCTCTACAATCGCCAGATGAAACAGCAATGTTAAGCCGCTATTTTATGCTGGTATTCTGTGAGAGCGTGGTCTTTCCCCGGTCGAGCCGACCCATTCGTGCTACAACTATACTACTAATATAGCTGCAGAATGGTTCTACCACGTTTAATACCCTAAACTTACCCTAGAAAAGTAATGGTCACTGTTTCGTGGTCTAGCGCCGGTATGATTCATCTCAGCTTCGAACCAAACGGGATGAACATTACTGCGGATGTTTACTGTGAAGAACTGAACACTGATAGCACGTCGTCCAGCTTTGGTCAATCGCTCGTCCCTGCTGCTCCTACACGACAACGCGCGACCTCATACTACACAACAGACGGTTTCCAAGTTACAAAGCTGTGATTGGAAGTTCTCCGTCATCCGCCGTAGGTACTCACCAAACCATGCGCCTACAGACTTCTACTTTTACCCGAATTGGGATAACTTTCTGGCGGGAAAAAATTCAACACCAGAGTGGTAGTAAGTACAAAATGCCTTTGAATTTGTTGCTTCCCGTCCAGCTGATTTCTTCAAGACTGGCTTCATTAAACTGCCACTGCGTTGGCAAAGATGCATCTATTGCGTGGGTGATTACTTTGATTAGGGTAGGGAGGGGGAATCGCGTTCACTGGGTAATGGCGCTCACCTCTGTATCTCTGTCAAAATGGAACGTAGCAACACGCTACGTCGCATGAAGCGCGAGGGGAGAGGGCATCTAACAGACAGCGATGCAAACGGACAATCAGCTCGCGTCATGCGACCGTGTAGTGCGTTTCTTCGTTTGCGGCCGCGCTTATCTAATTTTTGGTTAGGTATTTTTTGTCGGTAAGTCCAAAACTTTAATGCTTATATAATTATTACTTTTACTTTTCTGACAATAAAACTATTCTATTTTGTGATAATGTAATCAATATTCAACAATTGTGTAGGATTTTTTTTAAATTTCAAATTAATTACAAAACGACCGTTTGGGGTTATACACACATCTGAGCGCCATTACCCCTTGGTGACTTATTTTTTTATTGTTTTAGATATGCCAAGAAATCGTCAAAGGACCACCGCTAAAGTGGCTTGGACAGAAGAAGACCTTCAATCTGCTAAAACTGCGATTGAAGGAGGTTTGTCCAAAAGAAAAGCCGCAAAATCTTACATACCATTTACTACTTTGAGAGATCGACTAAAAAATAAAAACATGAGCAACCCAAGACTAGGACGCAAGCCCGTTTTCACTTAACAGCAAGAAATTGAAATTACTGAGCAAGTTAAGATGTTGGGTTCGCTATACTATGGACTTAATGTCACAGATTTGCGTAAACTTGTTTATAAATATGCTGAGCTCAACAATATCAAAAACAATTTTGATCAAAGCAGCAAAACAGCAGGATTGGTTGGGTACACGCCGCTATGAGACGCAATCCTTTAATTTCTATACGCAAAGCTGAAGCGACAAGCTTAAATAGAATTTTTGCTTTCAACAAAGAAGAAGTAACACATTTCTATGATGAACTTGGGTACTTAATGGAAAAACATAAATTTATTCCCAGCAACATTTACAATACTGACGAAACTGGTATCGCCACGGTGACAGACCCAGGAAAAGTGCTTGCCGAAAAAGGACAAAGAAGAGTCGGATCTGTTACAAGTGGCGAACAAGGAAGCATCATAACAGTTATGAGTGCAGCCGGAAACTTCATAACGCCTATGTTTATTTTTGCCAGACAGAGAATGACGCCTTTATTAGAAATAGATGAACCAGCTGGTGCATTATACACCAACTCTAAAAATGGCTGGATAAACGAAGACTTATTTGTCACTTTGCTCAAACATTTCGCAGCATTTGCTAAGCCTACACAAGAATCACCTGTGTTGTTAATTCTGGACAATCACAGTAGTCACATTTCCCTTCAAGCTTTTAATTTTTGCAAAGAAAACCACATCACAATGATTTCCATTCCACCACACAGTTTTCACAAAACACAGCCGCTGGATGTGTCTTTTTTATGGGTTGCTGAAAGCCGCTTATGGGCATGAATGCAATAGGTACATGAAGACTCATTTAATGTCTCAAATAACTCCGTACGATGTTGTAGGTCTTTTCAATAAAGCATACGTACAAGTTGCGAATATAAGTAAAGCAGAATCTGGATTTCGAGCCACGGGAATTTACCCATTGGACCAAAATGTTTTCACTGATCAAGATTTTCTGGCAGCGTCGCTGATAGCACAAGAATCGGTACAAATCGCTGAAAACCAAGACCCAAATGTCAAGAATTTTGAAAATGCGTAGTCTGCTGGTATGGCCATAACTTCAGAACATACATCTCCTTTGACAGGACCATCAAATAAGGATCAATTCTCTGACCAGGAACCAAGAACTTGTTGATGGGCAAAGAACTCCGGTATCCTTTGCTGCTATAGCAACGATACCAATTATTTCACCATCTTCTAAGCCAGGTTAAAGAAAGCGAAAACAACATGCTACCATATTAACTGCGACTCCTATGAAAATTATTTTAAAGTATAAAGAAAAGAAAAAAAAAAGAGTGAAACTCAATAAGACTGGAAAATATGATAAATCAAGACCAAACCAAGTTGTCAAAGAACAAACATATGAAAGAAAAATCTTACGAGAGAAAATTTTTATAAGAAAGTTCTTCAGAGAGTGAAGATGAAGAGCACCTTTGCGACGATGACAGTAATGACGAAATGAATGTGGATGATGAAAATTATAACAAATGTATTATTTACGAAGAATTTGTAAAAAAAAACGAGTTGTGGTATCGGTACACTATCTGCGGACTGTGGGCTCATGCTATATGTTAAGGGTGGGATTCGCCAGATCTATGATTTATGTGTCCAAAAATATTTCTATTTCTAATTTGTCTTACCTCTAATAATAATAATAATAATTTTATATTACATTATAATCATTGAAGTTGATTTGATATCGAAGACTACTATATTTGTTAAATTGAAAAAGTAATTTTACGGATTTTATCGCGTATATTAACTTATTTTTAACTTATTTTTATATTCCCGACGTTTCGGGTGCTTTCCAGCACCCGTGGTCACGGGGGACTGAGTTGTTTGACGTCCTACTGTCATAGTTAGCCCGGCTACCTTCAGTTTTTTAATATTAATTTTCGGTTCGATTTACGCAGAATGAGCTTACAGTATCTTGAAGTCTAGCAGTGGTATACTTGGGTTTGGATTTGATTTTATTAATTATGGGATCCCAAGCAGATGGCAGAACCCATCCATCTTCTCTATTGAAATTAGGATGTTTTTTAATTTCAATAGCCTCGCGAATCATCCTTGGGAGGAATCGGTGTTCTTTTGCGAGGATTTGTGGTCTATCAAATCTAATGTAATGACGGGGACGATCCTGAACATGTTCACAAACTGCAGACTTCCCGATACGTCGGTGCTTCACGTCAGCTATATGTTCTTTAACGCGGGTTTTAATAGATCTTTTTGTTTGTCCTATGTACGAGAGACCACATTCACAATCCAGCTTGTACACTCCTGCATCTTGTAGAGGGATATGACACTTGACGGATGGTAAAAATTGACCAATCTTCTTCAGCGGCTTGAAGTACGTTTTAATGGAAGCTCGCTTCAAGATGTAGCCAACCTTGTCTGTGACTCCTCTGACATAGGGTAGTACAGCAGGCACACGCTCGACTGTGGCTGGCTTCACTCGGTCACTGTGACGTAGGCGCGGGACCCGAAGCTTGTTGTCTTGCAGTACTTGCTCGACGTGCTGAAGCTCGGCGGCCAGATGTTTTCTGTCACAGATCCCTCGTGCTCTCTGAAACAAAGATTTTCCCACGGTAGCTAACTGTGAAGGATGATGGTGAGATTCACCATTTAAATATCGGTTGGTATGGGTATTTTTTCTGTACACAGTATGACCAATAGTGTTATCAGGATTTCGGATGACTAAAACATCTAGAAAAGCTAATCCGAAATCCTGATAACACTATTGGTCATACTGTGTACAGAAAAAATACCCATACCAACCGATATTTAAATGGTGAATCTCACCATCATCCTTCACAGTTAGCTACCGTGGGAAAATCTTTGTTTCAGAGAGCACGAGGGATCTGTGACAGAAAACATCTGGCCGCCGAGCTTCAGCACGTCGAGCAAGTACTGCAAGACAACAAGCTTCGGGTCCCGCGCCTACGTCACAGTGACCGAGTGAAGCCAGCCACAGTCGAGCGTGTGCCTGCTGTACTACCCTATGTCAGAGGAGTCACAGACAAGGTTGGCTACATCTTGAAGCGAGCTTCCATTAAAACGTACTTCAAGCCGCTGAAGAAGATTGGTCAATTTTTACCATCCGTCAAGTGTCATATCCCTCTACAAGATGCAGGAGTGTACAAGCTGGATTGTGAATGTGGTCTCTCGTACATAGGACAAACAAAAAGATCTATTAAAACCCGCGTTAAAGAACATATAGCTGACGTGAAGCACCGACGTATCGGGAAGTCTGCAGTTTGTGAACATGTTCAGGATCGTCCCCGTCATTACATTAGATTTGATAGACCACAAATCCTCGCAAAAGAACACCGATTCCTCCCAAGGATGATTCGCGAGGCTATTGAAATTAAAAAACATCCTAATTTCAATAGAGAAGATGGATGGGTTCTGCCATCTGCTTGGGATCCCATAATTAATAAAATCAAATCCAAACCCAAGTATACCACTGCTAGACTTCAAGATACTGTAAGCTCATTCTGCGTAAATCGAACCGAAAATTAATATTAAAAAACTGAAGGTAGCCGGGCTAACTATGACAGTAGGACGTCAAACAACTCAGTCCCCCGTGACCACGGGTGCTGGAAAGCACCCGAAACGTCGGGAATATAAAAATAAGTTAAAAATAAGTTAATATACGCGATAAAATCCGTAAAATTAGTTTTATTTAAAAATTGAAAAAGGCTAATCTTAAGTACAAATGGGGATAATTGATGCTAATTTGTGATTGTAGACTTCACTTTTATTGTATAAGGTTGATCTCATTAATATTCTTTAATTAAAATGTATCTTAAATGTTGTATTCCAAAAAACATGTTTGAGCGTCATTACACCGTACTCTGAGCGGCATCAACCAAAGTCTGGGGTAATGCCGCTCAAACATGTTCTTTTAATAATGTTGTCCTACTACTAGTAGGTGAAAGATACATGCTTTTGTTGTTAAATTGTTGATTACTCGATAATTAAAGACTTTGTTAGAAAAAAAATTACGTTAACTTATTTCATAAAAGACGACAATTTCATAGATAAAGACGTAATATATTTTTTTCAATAACGGTAAAGTGCGGATTGCACCAAGCAATAAGCCATGCAAAATGACAATTACTGTTTTTATTTTCTTTAAATATGTTTTATAAATGCTGCTAATCTTTGAATTGTATTAGGTGGAATAACTTACATATATACCTGAAAAGGAACACGTGGGTTCAGCATTCAACATCGGATTCTTTGATCCTGAATCTCCTATGACACCTACGTTGGGTTCGGGAGGTCAACGAGGCGTGGCGGACACTCTCGTGTGATACCCCGTGAAGGGGTATCACACGAGAGTGTCCGCCGCTTCCTTTTCTTAAAATAGGTTCAGGCGGGGATTACGGGTCTTCCGAGGTCGTCGCCGTCGTACGTTAGCAACACAAGGTGGACTGTAGTAATATTTAAAGGTGAAGGATCCCTTGGGAATAAAACGGCAATTATCTTCAAACCGCTCCGTGAGAGAGTAATTACTTTCCCTATCACTTCCCTACCTATATGTTTTCTTTCTTGATTATATATTATACTGGTAACTGGTCCCGAACGATTTGTATGTGGTGGTTCTGCTCCTTGTGGAGGTTTTCATGTGTCAAGCGCAAGATTTTGCTGGGCCTGCAACCTATTGCGCTGAGTGGCCGAGGTCAACGCGTACCAGGCTGATGCTGCGTAGGTCAGCCGCGAGCGGACGTAGGACCAATCTTGGTTTTGGTTGGAAATTTGGATGCCAGTATAGGATAGAGTTTCGCTCGCGTAGCTCTGGCCTGCCTCACTACGACCATCGGGGTCATGCGCAGCGAGCGATCTATCTGGCATCCTAGGTATGTGATGGTACTACTCCAACCCACATCCCGCCCGCGGAGTTGCAGAGTTGGTGGTGTTCTGGCCAGCCTGGTCATGGAGGCGACGGTCTTCCTGACGTTGACCGCCAGCCTCCATTTGTCCAGCCACTCAAGCAAGAGGTCGAGTACCTGCTGCAACTTCTTGGCAGCAATGTCCACCCGACGTGATGACGCGAAGTACGCACTGTCGTCGGCGTACAAAGCTAGTACAACGTCATCTTCCCACTCCTCCAGATGGCCTTGGAGGGTGGGGATGTCGTTGGTGTAAACCGCGTACAGGTGCGGTGATAGGCAGCTGCCCTGTGGCACTCCGGCTAAAATCGGTCGTGCCACCGAGACAGCCCCTTCCAGGGTGACGTGGAAGCTCCGCCCCTCCAGGAACGACGCTATTAGCCGCACAAGCATTGGCGGCAAGGTGGTTTGATTGATGAGTTTATAGACTAGCCCAGCGTGCCACACCCTGTCGAAGGCCTTCTCCATGTCGAGAAGGATCCCCACACAGATGCGGCCGAAGTTATATTTGGCCGCAAGATAGTGCAGCACGCGGGCCAGCTGTGAAGTTGTGGAATGCCCATGGTGACATGTGGAAGAACCCTATTCAGGGTAAGTTTTTCGAAGAGTTTTGCTATGTGCGGCAATAGCGTTATGGGGCGGTAGCTAGCTGGGAACCTCCTGTCTTTTCCCGGCTTCGGCAGGACGATGATTTTACCCTGCTTCAAGATGGTCGGAAAGTGGCCAGTTCGCAGGATGCCGTTATATAACCTGGCGAGTGCCACTATTACCCTTCTGGGCAGCTGCTTAATGGCTGTGGTGGTGATGCCTTCATATCCCGGCGTTTTACGGGTGGGTAGGCGCATGATGGTGCGCTTTACCTCCACTGGTGAAATGAAGTCACCGCAA